AATCAGAGACAGGCTGTGCACACCACTGACCCCGCACAGTGAAAACTAAATACATACAACTGTTCTTAAAGTGTACAATTTCATGGTTTTCACTTTACTCACAGAGTTGTGTATCCCTCACCACAATTCATTTTAGAACTTTTCATCACCTTAAATAGAAACCCCACACCCACCATTGGGGAATCCCAATTGCCACCCCCAGCATTCCCAATTCCTGGAAACTGCTAGTCTATCTTCTCCCTGGGTTTTTCTGTTCTGGAATGCAGAAGACAAGGGTTTTATCCCTGGATTAGGAAGATCACCTGGAGAAGGAAATGGCAATCCACTCTAGTATTCCTGCCTGGAGAATCCCATGGACAGAGAAACCAGGCAGGCTGGCAAGTCCATGGAGTTGCAAGAGTCAGACATGACTTAGCGACTAAACCACCACCTATGAATGGAATCATACAATTCGTGACCTGTGGGGTCTGGCTTCCTTCAGTCAGTGTAGTGTTCTCATGGTTCTTCCATGTTGTTGCCTGTCAATACTCATTCCCTCTTTTGATTAAACAGTATTCCATTGTATGAGTGTATGATGTTTTGTTTATCCCTTCATCAATGGGTGGTCATTTCCATTTATCTTCCACTTGTGGCTCTTGTGAGTAATGCAGCCACCAACTTTTCGAACTTTAAATTATATACTTCCAGCATTTCCCTGATGATCCAGTGGTCAAGAATCTGCCTTGCAATGCAGGGGACCATTTCCCTGATGATCCAGTGGTCAAGAATCTGCCTTGCGATGCAGGGGATGTGGGTTCGACCCCTGGTCAGGCAAGTAAGATCCCACACACCTCAGGGTGACTGAGTCTGAGTGCCGCAACTACCGAAGCCTGTGCAACACAGCTAGAGAGAGTCCGTGCACTGCAGCCAAAGATCCCGCATGAGCAAAGGCCATCCTGCATGCTGCAACTAAGACCCAGCATAGCCAAGTAAATGAATAAGTAAATTTTATCATTTCATGAGGCGGTATCAGTGAGTTTCTCCATCTATTCATGATTTTCTTGGCCGGATGAATGCTGCATTGCAGAACTTTGAGGGCAAGGACCTCGCTTTCCTGCTCTCCACTGGCATATTTATGAGGATCAAAATATGCTAGATGAGAAAGAGCTGGCTGGTGGACTATAAAACTTCCCTACATCCAACCCAAAGTAGCCACTGAATGACCCAGACCTATAATAACGACATCTACGTTCAGTGGCTCAGTCGTGTCTGACTGTTTGTGACCCCAGTGGGACTGTATCCTGCCATGTTCCTCTGTCCATAGAATTTTCCAGGCAAGAATCCTGGAGTGGGTTGCCATGCTCTCCTCCAGGGGATCTTCCTGACCCAGGGATCGAACCCACGTCTCTTGCATCTCCTGCACCGGCGGGCAGGTTCTTTACTGCTGCACCACCTGGGAAGCCTGAAGATGCCTATCAGTTCAGTTCATTCACTCAGTTGCGTCTGACTCTTTGCAACCCCATGAACTGCAGCACGCCAGGCCTCCCTGTCCATCACCAACTCCCAGAGTCCACCCAAACCCATGTCCATCAAGTCAGTGATGCCATCCAACCATCTCATCCTCTGTCATCCCCTTCTCCTCCTGCCCTCAATCTTTCCCAGCATCAGGATCTTTTCAAATGAGTCAGCTCTTCACATGAGGTGGCCAAAGAATTGGAGTTTCAGCTTCAGCATCAGTCCTTCCAATGAACACCCAGGACTCATCTCCTTTAGGATGGACTGCTTGGATCTCCTTGCAGTCCAAGGGACTCTCAAGAGTCTTCTCTAACACCACAGTTCAAAAGCATCGATTCTTCAGTGCTCAGCTTTCTTCACAGTCCAACTCTCACATCCATACATGACCATTGGAAAAACCATAGCCTTGACTAGATGGACCTTTGTTGACAAAGTCATGTCTCTGCTTTTTAATATGCTGTCTAAGTTGGTCATAACTTTCCCTCCAAAGAGTAAGCATCTTTTAATTTCATGGCTGCAATCACCATCTGCAGTGATTTGGAGCCCAGAAAAATAAAGTCAGCCACTGTTTCCACTGTTTCCCCATGAAGTCCCATGAAGTGATGGGACTGGATGCCATGATCCTACTTTTCTGAATGTTGAGGTTTAAGCCAACTTTTCCACTCTCCTCTTTCACTTTCAGCAAGAAGTGCTTTAGTTCTTCACTTTCTGCCATAAGGGTGGAGTCATTTGCATATCTGAGGTTATTGATATTTCTCCCAGAAATCTTGATTCCAAGCTTGTGCTTCTTCCAGCCCAGCGTTTCTCATGATGTACTCTGCATATAAGTTAAATAATCAGGGTAACAATATACAGTCTTGACGTACTCCTTTTGCTATTTGGAACCAGTCTGTTGTTCCATGTCCAGTTCTAACTGTTGCTTCCTGACCTGCACACAGGTTTCTCAATAGGCAGGTCAGATGGTCTGGTATTCCCATCTCCTTCAGAATTTTCCAGAGTTTATTGTGATCCACACAGTCAAAGGCTTTGGCATATTCGATAAAGCATAAATGGATGTTTTTCTGGAACTCTCTTGCTTTTATGATGATCCAGCAGATGTTGGCAATTTGATCTCTGTTTCCTCTGCCTTTTCTAAAACCAGCTTGAGTGGCAAGAATACACAGAAGAATTGTACAAAAAAGATCTTCACAACCCAGATAATCACAATAGTGTGGTCACTCACCTAGAGCCAGACATCCTGGAATGTGAAGTCAAGTAGGCCTTAGGAAGCATCACTACGAACAAAGTTAGTGGAGGTGACGGAATTCCAGTTGAGTTATTTCAAATCCTGAAAGATGATGCTGTGAAAGTGCTGCACTCAATATGTCAGCAAATTTGGAAAACTCAGCAGTGGCCATAGGACTGGAAAAGGTCAGTCTTCATTCCATTCCCCAGAAAAGCCAATGCCAAAGAATGCTCAAACTACTGCACAACTGTGCTCATCTCACACGCTAGTAAAGTAATGCTCAAAATTCTCCAAGCCAGGCTTCAGCGATACACGAACCATGAACTTCCAGATGTTCAAGCTGGTTTTAGAAGATGTCTATATGTTTTATTTAATTTTGAATTTGATCCCTCATCTGTTTCCAGCACTTTGGACTGAGAGCTTTGTTAGCCATGCTCTCCTCTGACCTCTGACCCCATGAGGGTTTGGCCACAAGAGAACGGGAGCACGCACTCAGTGGTCTGGACAGAACAGAGGCACCCCCAGCATCTTCCTGACAACCTTTGGCTGAGGGTATTGGCAGATATTGGGCTTTCCTGCTGGCTCAATGGTAAACAATCTTCATGCCAATGCAGGAGACCTGGGTTCAATCCCTGGGTTGGAAAAATTCCCTGGAGAAGGAAATGGCAGGCCACCCCAGTATTCTTGCCTGGGAAATTCCATAAACAGAGGAGCCCTGGTGGGCTACAGTCCATGGGGTCGCAAAGAGTTGGACATAACTTAGGGACTAAACAACAGCATATCATCAGGATATCATCAAGTCTGTCCCAAACACCAACCCACACTAGCAAAGCATGAGCAAGTCAGATACCTACACCTTCCCCTACCAATCCCAGGCAAAGACCCTCTTCTCAATCTTTGCCAATCTAGTCAACAAACTACACTTAATTTCCTTTAAGAAATCATCAGAAGATGGTCTCTGGTCACATCTTATACACCAAGGAAATTATTGGATTCTCCCCTGTTGACAGTACCGCCATCAAATCTCTTGGTGGCCAGTGTGTTTCCAGATGCCCAAGAAGCAGGAAAGATGTCCAGTTAAGGCAGAATGTTGGCAAAAAGGAAGCCAGGTAAATGTACACTTATAGTGGAATGCAACCCCGAGCGACAGTTCACAGTGACATAAATCAAATAACAAGATCTCTTTGCTGTGTTTTGTGTTGTATTGATCACCTGTTTAATTTCATCCCATTGCTGATAATCAAAGTCCCTGGGAATGGGCATCCTAAACTGTGCTTTCCTCTGACCAGGAGAGAGAGTGTCCAGGAATTCCCAGGAGACCCTGGCACAAGCCATGAGTTCAACCTGATGTTTAGACCCAGGCCTATGTGCTCTATGGAGGCCAGGAGGGGCTGGACTCCAGGGACCTAAGCTCCTGAGTCAAGCATGGAAGCCCAGTTCATTCACTCACCACGGGAAAGGGGGCAGGACCGCAGAGGTTTCCTGACAGCCCCCAGGACAGGACTCGGTGAGCAGTAATTGCTCAGCAATGAAAGGATTAATCGATAATTGCATCTCCTGCAAGGGGTGGGGCAAAAGAGGGTGGGTCCTGTAGGGCGCGTCAAGGTGGGCATAGTATATAAAGCTGCGGTGTAGGACCCTGGCCTCAGATCTTCCTGCAGAGCCCCAAACGCAGAGAGCAGAGCAGCAGTGAGGAACTAAGACCCCAGTCTACCATGGGTGAGTATGGGTCAGGGTGAAAGGCCTGGGCCAGAGGCTGGGGTTGTGGCCGAGGCCGCAGGCCTCCTGGGCACCCAGAGGAGGGCCCAGCTGTCTGAGAGGGCTTCCTGCGGTGGGGAGGACACTGCAGAGTCTGGGGGATGGAATTACATTATCTGGATGAGAAGAACAGAGAGCTGGCCCACTGCAGCCTCCTGCAAACATGAGGGTCGCTTCAGCCCTTGGATAGTGGGGGGGTACCCGGCACCCAGGAGAGCCTGTCCTGCCTGCCTTCCCAGGCTGGGGGCCCTGGGGCTGAGATCAGGCCCATCGCAAGGATGTGGACACTGAGGCCCAGAGAGGTGCCAGGGCTGGGGTGGGGGGAGGAGAGTCAGGCTGGCAACAGGGGCGGCCGGGCTGGATGCCACACGCTTAGCCCTGCGCCGGCCTCTGCCCACAAGCGTGAGCCCCCCCACCCCACCCCACCTGCTCACCAGGGCCTGAGCCAGGCCAGGGGAGGCGTGATGGGGACCGTCTGGAGGTGGGCTTCGTCTGACCCTCCTTCTCCCCCAACGGTTCTCAGGACCCGCAAAGAGGCAGCGGCGGCAGCGCACGGTGTTCAACAAAGAACAGTTACACGTGCTCGAGGAACACTTCGTAAACGACCAGTACCCGAGCTACCGGGCCCGCGAGGACCTGGCAGCCCGGCTCAACCTGGAGGAGTACAAGGTGCAGGTCAGATCCCACCCCAGCCCCCCCACCCCCTGTCCCCACAGCCGTCCCAGGACCAGCTCCCACCTTGGCACTTACCGGGGGCCAGCTTTCCGCCCGGGCACGCCCCCGGTCACTCAGGAAGCAAGGGCTCTCCCGGGGGCCGGATCTCAGGGCCTCGGGGAACCCAGGGAGCCCCTCTGGCAGACCCCCTTCCTGGCGCTCGAGCTCCGGAGTGACCAAGGCCGGCCACTCCCGCCCTCTTCTGGTCTCCTCTGCGGCCTCCAGAAAACTTCAGGAGCCTCTAATTGGGCCTGGGGGACCGAGAAGGTCGCGCGCGAGGCCGGCTTCCGCTCCAACTGCGGGCAGCCTCCCACCCACCCCAGGGGGCCGCAAATGCGCACGGCCCCTCATTTGATGCCTCCTCCCGCGCCCCTCTGTCTCTCCAGGTGTGGTTCAAGAACCGCCGGGCCAAAAACGCTCGGCTGAAGCGATTGACCCAGGGGCCTGGCCAGGGTCCCCGCAGCGTCCCCACCGACGGCGGAGTCCCCGACGCCCCCGCTCCCGGGACTGCCTCTACCCCTGCCGCCGCGGCTGCAGACTCTGCGACCCCAGAGGGCTCGGGTTTCCGCAGCCCCTCTCAGCCCAGCCCCGCCGGCAGGCTCAGCACACCAGCGCCCGGCGGCGTCCCCAGCCAAGGCCGGGCCGGGTGCGCCCCAGCGCAGGGCACCCAGGAGGACTTCCCTACGGCAGCTCCAGCCTCGACCCCAGGTCCAACTTCAGCCCCGACTCCAGACCCCTGCGCCGCCTCGGACTCCTGGCCAGACTCTGTTGTCATCTTTGATTTCACAGACCTCTTACCGCTCCAAGAACCCTCCCACGAACCTCCCTCCGTCTTGTTCTCAGAGTACCAAAAGGGAGATGACTCTGCGGATGACTCGGGCCCCCGGCAGTTTCTGAGTTTATAGAATCATCTGTCCCAGCAAAGTCCTGCAGACCCAGGCCTGCGCGTGGCGTGTAGAAACCCGGGCGGCTTGGCGAATCACCAGGAAACCGCTAGTCACTGTCGGGAGGGACGCACCTCCGTGTATCCAGCCTGCGGAGGGGCGTTTGTGTTCCCTGTGGAGCGGCCCTCGGGGGTCGCGCTGCTCCGAGTGACCCCGCCACTTTATTTAGGGCGCACACGGGCAGTTCAGCTGGTTCCTAAGCCGGCCATGCAGCTCCCGGTGTGCGCTCGGCTTTAGTGGGTGCCGCCCGGGGGGAACTTGACCAGCCTCGATCGCCCAGCGCTCCTGCTGATCCTCAGGGACATTTAGGATGTGCGCCTTTGTGATGTTTGCTGATCTGCTGTCTGGCGACTTCTCTGTGATTTTTCATATTGATTCCCTGGTGAGAGAGAAGCTGAACTCTACTCGTGTTTATTAGGCGTTAGGAATACTTGCAGAGTGCCCTTTATTTTTTGATTTTTTTTTGGTTAATTTTTCTTAATTTGTTTGCATTTATCGTTTTATCCCTTTTGGTAAATAAAGTGTTGCAAACATTTCTTTTCCCACTCGTGATTTTTGGAAGTAGAATTTCCTGATTTTCCCGTCTATTTCAGTACCTCTCCTTATCCGTTGTGATCAACCAGTGTGTACACTGATATGCTATAAAAAATGAATTTATTAATAAAGACTTAACATAACCCTCAGAAGCCTCATTCTCAAGTTGACGTAAAAATTCAGAAAACCTGACACTCAACGTCAACTTGCCTTATCACAGACTGAAAATAGTTCACTGGAGGCATCAGTTCTGGGTCCTTGGTCTACTACTTTCAACCCACCTCAAGGTTTGGGCAGCAGGGCACTGGGGAGGACTCTGTTTTAACTACTCCCTTTTACAGTTAATGCTTTGTCTTTAGTCTTTCTTGTTTGAGAAATCTTTCATTATCATAAGAAAGATATTGGTCATAAACATATTGTATTCTCTGAAATCTTACCAGTATCATCTCCTATGTTTAGGTCTTAGGGAAAGTGTTAGTTGCTCAGTCCCATCCGATGCTTTGCGACCCCATGGACTGTAGCCCGCCAGGCTCTGTTTTGGGAGCTAAGACAGAGGAAATGTCTCTGGAAATGGGATTTCCTAGGCAAGAATACTTGAATGGGTAGCCCTTCCCTTCTCCAGGGGATCTTCCTGACCCAGGGATCGAACCTGTGTCTCCTGCACTGTGGGCAGATGATCATCTGAGCCACTTTGGGTCTTAAGACTTCTGGAATTGATTGTGTGTGTGTGGTGTGAGGTAGGGATTCCTTTCTCATTTATCCTCATGAATTTACAGCTGTCAGTGTATGAGAGACTGGTTAACTTGTCATAAGTCAAAGATCCATTCCTGCATGGATTCAGTACCTACAAAGTCTGCATTCAGGACTGATGGTCCGGTATTCTTGCACCATCTGCTCCTTTGTCTCTAGTTTCTCTGCTGTCTTCTGTGACCATCTTGGCTCTGGGGTCTCCCCACAGCTGGTCCTCTGACCCTGTCCTGGTCCCCTGACCCTGTCCTGGTCCCATTTAGCAAATGCTCCAATGTTTGTAAGCCAGGGACACCTCAGCTGAGCAGAGAATTAAATCAGATTGGAGGGAGGGAAGGGAGGCACATGACAGGTAACAGACGTGGCAAGGGTGGGCAGTCCTGGGGGCTACCAGGACATAATAGCAGCTGCTCCTGCTTGTCTAACAGAACCTGCCAGGAAAAATACAGAAGCATACTGAGGAAACAGGAGCAGAGAAAGGAAACTGAGAGGGAGAAGCACTGGGACTGCCCTGGTGGTCCAGTGGCTAAGAATTTGCTTGCCAATGCACAGGACTCAGGTGTGATCCCTGATCAGAGAACTAAGATCTCACATGCTGCGCAGCACAAAGTCCATGCCTGCGTCAACTAGAGACAGCCTGTATACAGCAAGGAAGACCCAACGCAGCCAAAATAAATAAAATAAAAAAATACAGCACCATATGTAAAATAGATGGGTTTCCCTGATAGCTCAGTTGGTAAAGAATCCGCCTACAACACAGGAGATGCTGGTTTGGTTCCTGGGTTGGGAAGATGCCCTGAAGAAGGGACAGGCTACCCCACTCCAATATTCTTGGGCTTCCCTTGTGGTTCAGCTGGTAAAGAATCTGTTGGCAATGCGGGACACCTGGGTTTGATCCCTGGGTTGGGAAGGTCCCCTGGAAAATAGACATGCTGACCACTCCAGTATTCTGGCCTGGAGAATGCCATGAACTGTACAGTCCATGGAGTCACAAAGAGTCGGACACGACTGAGTGACTTTCACTTTGCTATGTAAAATAGACAGTCAGTGTGACTTTGTTGTATGACACAGGGCACCCAAAGCTGGTGCTCTGTGACATCCTGGAGGGATGGAGTGGGAAGGGAGGTGGGACCAGGGTTCAGGATGGAGCAGACACATGTATGCCTGTGGCCGATTCATACTGATGTATGGCAAAAACCACCACAATATTGTAAAGTAATTATACTCCAATTATTTAAAAAAACTTGTACATGAACGTTTGTAGCAGCATTAGTCATAATAGCCAAAAGATGGAAACATCTCAGGTGTCCACCAACTGAAGAAAGAATAAACAAAATGTGGTACATTTCTACAGCGGAATATTATTCCACCATCAAAAGGAATGAAGCACTGACTTGAAAACAAACATGCCAAGTGAAAGACACCAGACACAAGAGAGCACATATTGTATGATTCCATTTCTATGAAATATGTAGAACAGGCAAGTCTGTAGAGACACAAAGTGGATTTATGGCTGCCCAGGGCTGTGGGGAAGGGACAGTTGGGACTGACTGCTTCACAGGTTCCCGATTTCTTAATAAAGTGATGAAATGTTCTAGAACTAGACAGTGGTGATAGTTGCATAACATTGCGTTGCTGTGCTATGTTGCTTCAGTCGTATTTAACTCTTTGTGACCCCACGGACTGTAGCCCACCAAGCTCCATGAGATTCTCCAGGCAAGAATACTGGACTGGGTTGCCATGCCCTCCTCCAGGGGATCTTCCTGACCTGGGATTGAACCTGCACCTCTTATATCTCCAGCATCACCAGGCAGGTTCTTTACCACTACCGTCACCTGGGAGACTCTATTGCATAACATTGGGAATGTACAAAACATCACTGAATCAACTGTACACTTTAAGATGGTTCAAATGGTAAATTTTATGTTTTGTGTATCGTACCTTGATTTTAAAAGATGGCACGAGGGCAGACACTAAAGGTGGGTGTGCTGACAAGGTGGCTTCCTCCTATTTCTTGTTTTGAACAAAGACATGACATCTGGAACTGCAATGGTCATCTTGCCACCATTAGGCAAAATCCAAGCAGATTCAACAAGCTAAAGAAAGGAGAGAATGAAAAAACAGAAAAATTCTAAGACCTTGATTACACTGTTGAGCTGACTGCCAACCACAAGACTCCTTAACAATAAGTGTCCTTGAAGCTAAAAAAAAGAAAAAGAAAAAAAGATGGGAGGAGCTGCCTGTCACAAGGTACCACAAAATGGAGTTGCTAAGGACTGGCTGAAAGGAGAGGAGGACGCAGTCTTCTCCCTGGATGGAAAGAAATGAGGGAAGTCAGACGGCCATAAAAAGCAGTTCGCTACAGTCTTATGGTTGCCAAGGTGGGGGTTGGGGAAGGGATGGACTAGGAGTCTGGGGTTCAGTTCAGTTCAGTCACTCAGTCGTGTCCAACTCTTTGCAATCCCATGAATCACACCATGCCAGGCCTCCCTGTCCATCACCAACTCCCGGAGTTGACCCAAACCCATGTCCATCAAGTCAGTGATGCCATCCAGCCACCTCATCCTCTGTCATCCCCTTCTCTCCCTGCCCCCAATCCCTCCCAGCATCAGGGTCTTTCCCAATGAGTTAGCTCTTTGCATGAGGTGGCCAAAGATTTGGAGTTTCAGCTTCAGCCTCAGTCCTTCCAATGAACACCCAGGACTCATCTCCTTTAGGATGGACTGCTTGGATCTCCTTGCAGTCCAAGGGACTCTCAAGAGTCTTCTCCAACACCACAGTTCAAAAGCATTGATTCTTCAGTGCTCAGCTTTCTTCACAGTCCAACTCTCACATCCATACATGACCACTGGAAAAACCATAGCCTTGATCAGATGGACCTTTGTTGGCAAAGTAATGTCTCTGCTTTTTAATATGCTATCTAGGTTGGTCATAACTTTCCCTCCAAAGAGTAAGCATCTTTTAATTTCATGGCTGCAATCACCATCTGCAGTGATTTTGGAGCCCCCCAAAATACAGTCTGATACTGTTTCCACTGTCTCCCCATCTTTTTCCCATGAGGTGATGGGACTGGATGCCATGATCTTAGTTTTCTGAATGTTGAGCTTTAAGCCAACTTTTTCATTCTCCTCTTTCACTTTCATCAAGAGGCTTTTTAGTTCCTCTTCACTTTCTGCCATAAGGTTGGTGTCACCTGAATATCTGAGGTTATTGATATTTCTCCCAGAAATCTTGATTCCAGCTTGTGCTTCTTCCAGCCCAGCATTTCTCATGATGTACTCTGCATATAAGTTAAATAATCAGGGTGACAATATACAGCCTTGACATACTCCTTTTGCTATTTGGAACCAGTCTGTTGTTCCATGTCCAGTTCTAACTGTTGCTTCCTGACCTCAAGAGGCAGGTCAGGTGGTCTGGTATTCCCATCTCTTTCAGAATTTCCCACAGTTTATTGTGATCCACACAGTCAAAGGCTTTGTCATATTCAATAAAGCAGAAATAGATGTTTTCTGGAACTCTCTTGCTTTTTCGATGATCCAGCGGATGTTGGCAATTTGATCTCTGGTTCCTCTGTCTTTTCTAAAACCAGCTTCAACATCTGGAAGTTCATGGTTCATGCATTGCTGAAGCCTGGCTTGGAAAATGTTGAGCATTATTTTATTAGTGTGTGAGATGAGTGC